GAACTGCTGAGCTCAAACAATCCGCCCACCTCGGCCTCCCAGAGTGCTAGGATTACAGACGTGAGCCACCGCGCCCAGCCTCCATATTTCTTCTAGGTTTCCATGTCTTTGAATTAAGAGTCTATGCTTTATAGAAGTTCTCCTTGCCCCTCAACTTTCCCCCAACTAAATCAGCCCCAGACAGAATTGGGTGCCCCTGATCTGTGCTCCCACAGTGCGTGGATCACACTTCTATGCTACTGGTGGGTTACAACTGCTTCTTTGGTTGTCGACTCCCATATGCTAGACTATAACTCTAACCCTAAACCTAACCCAGTGAGGGCATGGGCTATATCTTTCATTATTGTAATTCAAGTACCCAGAATAGTACATGGCATCTAGCAAAAATCTCATTAATGTAGAATGAAGGAGGGGTTTGACCTTTTCAACTGGTTGGAGCTAAATTATACTCAAAGTACTGTAGTAACCAGAGGTGGCCTAGTCAATATAGGAAAGGCAGTTTGGTGCCGATAAGCAGGGGCTTGGTGGAGTGTCTTTCTCAGTTGGAATCCTATTGTCATTGTTCCCTTGTTGTGTGACTTTGTCCATGTTACATAATCTCTCTCTGTCTCAAAGAATTGGTGTCTCAGATTCCTCAACAGGAAATGGAAACAATAATAGTGGCTACCTCACAGGGATATTGTGAGGATTATTGCATCAAAGGGACTTAGAAACATTAATTGCTCATAGGTGACTACTAATATTCTTATTAGTATTATAATTATTATGTGAGAAGAAAAAACTTCATGCCCATTAATGGCCTTTAAAAACATTTACAAGAATTTACATCAAAAATTAATATTTTTGCCCTCAATTTCTTTTTTAAAAGGCAAAATCAAGAGTGTGCTTAATGAAGGTAGCATCAGCTCATCTGCTGTCATGGTGCTGGTGAATGCTGTGTACTTCAAGGGCAAATGGGAGTCAGCCTTCACCAAGAGTGAAACCATAAATTGCCGTTTCAAATCTCCCAAGGTTTGTTGTAAATCTCTTATTTAACTTAGGACTCTTTTCCCCCGACAGTATTCCTTTGCAGGAAATTGTATTTACCTAGGCAATTGCTGGGTTCACCATTTCTTTACCCATGTTTTTCTTCTGTGTCACCAATACTGTATGGTCAGTTGCTTTATAAAGCAAACTTTCTATTTCCCTAATGCAGCTTAGGACACACAACCAAGGGTGTCCTGTAAATTGAAGTTCTTAAAATATACTCAAAATTGAAAGAAGTATTGAATGTATTTTAAGGTATTTTAGTTGGTAGCCCATAAGAGGAAAATATGACAAAAGTGTACCTTTCATTTTTCATGATTTTAACTGTAGGGTCTACAATTAGAGTTGTTTCCCAATGATTTTCTTGAGTCAAAGCAGGGATGTGTTTCCCTTTATAAGGGAAAAAGTTGTATTATACATTTCCAAGGAGAAGTGATATCTATTTCTTCATTTAGTTCTGTTTTTGATCTAAAACATCTTATTATTGACCTTCATAAAACATCTTGTTGGCTTTTTACCACCTTGTACATAGTAATCTTAGTAGAGTAGAGATATTAAAGGCCTTGGAGTCAGAAATACAGGGCCAGGGTCCCTGCCTTGCTTCATAGAAGCTGCTTTGTGGTAAGCAAATTAACTTAACCACTGTGGACCTACCCCTCCTCACATGTAAAATGAAGTGATTCAATTAGTTGATATCTAAAACATCTTGTTGGCTTTTTACCACCTTGTACATAGTAATCTTAGTAGAGTAGAGATATTAAAGGCCTTGGAGTCAGAAATACAGGGCCGGGGTCCCTGCCTTGCTTCGTAGAAGCTGCTTTGTGGTAGGCAAATTAACTTAACCACTGTGGACCTACCCCTCCTCACATGTAAAATGAAGTGATTCAATTAGTTGATATCTAAATTTTTTTCAGTCTTTTATATTGAGAAATTTAAATTTATTAATAATTTTAAAATAGTTTTATTTTTCAAGTGGTATTTCTCATCTATTGAAATATTCTTTCTACATTTTCCCACATCAGAAGTTTTAGACATGGGAGTGCTGAGAGCTGGTAGCCATTAAAGATCACTGAGTGAGTCAGGAGTCGAGAATAGAGAGTTACCTAGGCAGCCATATCTGCAGGTGTGGTCACTCTTTGGGAGGAACACTTGAGTGCAGAGTAGAACTGGGACAAGGATGCACTTTAGGTAGCCTGCAAGGACTGCAGGACAGCCCTGCTCTGTGTCCTACCGACCCAGTGGAGCAAAGTTATGATGGAGGTATCTCTGGGGGAAGAAAGAGATGGGCACAGAAATATTTTGAAAACTATATATGAACAAATAATAAAATATGATAAATCCTAGTAAAATACAGCTCTGTCTGTAAGACAGAGCTTATATTTTCTGTGTAGTTGCAATATAAAGCATGTTAGGTAGTATTAGAATTTGAGTGCCTGGGACTTACAAAGTTTGGATGTGAGTTTTCAGTTTTCCACATCTACCCTAGTAGATGTGGTCTACAGTAAATTGCATTTATTACCTCGTTATCAACAATGAAAACAAAGCATAAAGTTTCCCTGTCTCCTGAATTGGGTGAGTTTGTTTGTTTTCCTAAAGCAGTTTTTAGCTTAAAAAGTACTATTACATAACAACATAGTTTTAAACTCTCTTTCTGCTGGTTCACACCCCCTATATAATATAGCTATAACAGATAGATTCCAATGTCACAGGTTATAGAATCTAGATCGCTGATGTCAGTGTTGGTTCCATTGCATTAAAAACTGGTGAAGTTATACCTCCAGCATAACCCGGCTGTGCGATTCTTTCCCTGCAGCAGTGTAGGAGTGAGGCATTGTGGCTATGACATCCCTGCCTCCATTGATTGGTTCCAGGCTCCATTCTGTTGGCCTGCCTCACCAAGCAGGTGGATGCTCCACATGTGTTCTTTCTGAGGATTGGACTCAAAGTCAAAAAGGCAATTGTTCAGAGGCAGAAGGACCTTTTGCTCAAGGACATAGAATTATTTGTCCTCCCCATGTAGAACCTTTTGTCCTAAAGTAGGATATTACAGAAATGTCGACGAGTGTGCAGATCATAAATCAACATTAGGAAAAAGACAGTTTATTATAGCTCTATGGTGTCTCCACATCTATAAATGGTATTCTCAAGATAAGAGCCATTAGGTTTTGCCCTAGTTAATTTGAGAGATGTTGCCAAATATCTTGCAGGACTTTTTGAAAATTTTTCTAAGACCTCAGTCTTAAATTGCATAATTTTGGTAGTACTAATCTGTATTTTACTTCAGATTAGAGAAAAAATCTAAGGCATTCATTTTTCATTGTAATATAGACATTTTCAGTTAAAGCACTAAGAACAAGGCAATGTTCCAAGTGCTAGATATATTAATTCACATAATCCTCACAATAATCCTATGCAGCAGGGACGGTTATCATCCCCACGATATAGACGAGAAAATAGAGGCACAAATAGGTAACGTAACTTACCCAGGGTCACACGGTGAGGAAGTTTTGAACTTAGAGAGCCAAACTCTAAGTCTTTGCTTTCACCACTAAGACATGTACCAATGCAATCACTATCGGCAACAAGTCAGGAAAAATCTACAGGATCAACTGAGCAAAATACAAAAATATTATACTTGGTCAGTAAGTAAAACGAGGTGGGATTATTAATGATTTTTTGTGTGTGTGATTGGACTTTCAGTGTCCTAGGAAAGTAGTTGCCATGATGCATCAAGAACGGATGTTCAATCTGTCTGTTGTTCAGGACCCATCTATGCAGGTCCTTCAGCTCAAATACAACGGTGGCATAAGCATGTACATTCTGCTGCCGGAGAATGACCTATCACAAGTAAGTCACTGCTGTCACTTTCATTCTTGGGGAATAATAAGACTTTAGAATACTGTTGATTGTGTTTTCATCCATAAACTTTTAAGATTTCACATTGTTGGGATATTAGAGACTCACCCACTTATTCATTTATTTGACAAATATTTAACGAGTACCTATGTGCCAGATACCATTTTAGATGTTGAGATTGACTTATCTCATTTTATCATAATTCTGGTTGAATAGCTATAAAGTCAGAACCCTCTCAAATCTCAGCTATGGAGTCAAAAGGCACACGTTTAGTTCTTCTTGGTGCTTGGCCATGAAAACAATCTTTTACGTGTTACTGACATTTTGGCAGACCAAGCATCTTCAGGAAGGTATGATATGTTGGAGTCCTGATACTTTGAGAATTAAAATGCACGGTTTCACTCTGTGCTGCTGTGTCTCTAGTGGAAAGCAGAGGGTAGGACTTCCCTGTGACTGCGGTGGCAGGAGAAGCAGACGTGCACAGTGCAAGGGGCAGACTGTGGGGGCCATGTGAACCGGACGCCATCGCATCTCAGATTCTGATCTTCTTTCAGCCCTCTTCCTCCCTTCTTCCTCTTGAACTCAGCTCTTTGAGTCTGGGACCTGCAATCTCAGAGGCCTATGCTCATCGTCCTTCTCCGTTCTCCCAATCCAAAGGAGTAATAGACGTCATTCATGGAGAATCTACTACATGCCAGTCCACATGCTCTGAGCTTCATTTATATCCTCTCATTTGATGTTGACAGCAACCCTGTGAGATAGGGAAAAGAGGCTCATGGAATTTAACCAATTTGTCTGATAGATATTTGTGTACAAATATGCATATTTGTGAGTGTGTGTCTGTATGTACACACACATGTATGTACCTCAGCTACACTAAAATATAATTACATTTTAAAATATTTATTTTATTTTGATTTGGAAAACAATGAATGTTTATTGTAGAATAATTGGAAAGTAGAAAGAATATAAAGAAATAGATATCCTTACTATCCAGAGGCATTATTTCTACCCATATTTTTCTTATGATTTAAAAACGTGACTTTAAAGCTTTGGAAAGACAGTTTCTATCTAAACAAAGATGACCGAATTGTTGTAATGACTTTCAGTCATTAAGTTTTCATCTTTATGTCCTTTTTTGACATGAGATGCAAGAGAAATGTCATAAAATTGGCATCAGTTAAATCTAAAGTGTGACCACATTAAATATTGCTACTCATATTAAATCAGTTATTCATTAGTATAATCTTCATAGCAATCAGATTTTAGCACATATTGATTATTTTAACTTAAAATAATCTACAAAAGAAAAAAGTAACCCAGATAAAACAAGCTCAAAAGATAGATTTGTTCTTCTATTTATCATCTGAGTTTTCCTTTTCTATAATAGATTTACCTAATAATGCTCAGATCTGATTAGTACAAACCTACATACCACATAATTCTAAATACCTACATAATCCTACATAACCAGATAACGATGAGGAAGTTGGCTGTCAGTGGGCAAAACGAAAAAAAAAAATCCAACTCAGTATAAAAAGTTATTACAGTTTAACCACAAACTGGATAATTAACACACAGAAAATTCAAATTAGACTAAAATTGACTATATAAATTTAGATCCTTGATAAGAATGCAAGCTTGATGCTGGTAAAAATTTGTTTAGGATTGCGGTGAGCCTGAATTTGAGAAGAAATGTCCTTATATAAGATTTCTAAACAATGCTCATGAAAAATCTTCTCATTCTAAATCTGAAAGAATTTATGATCAATTCTCAATAGTCAAGAGTTGGTGAATTCAATTTGTGAATCTGTGAGGACAGCAATTGGTGTTGGAGAGAGAGATGGGCTCCTAGCTGTGTAACTAAGGCTGCTTGCCTTGCACCCTGGGCATGTCTCTCTACACCCTCATGAACTTCAGCTGTCTCATCTGCTGACTAGGAGAGTCGACTTGGATCCAAGCTTCCCAGACAGTGTGGATGACTGTGCTGGACGTATTGATCACCCAAACCCTCAGGACTGGACTCAGGCCACCTACGGTTCCATTGGTTTGCTCCAGCAAGCCGTGCAAACGTTATTATTTTCTCTGCCTTTCATGATGGGCAAATGGTCAAGAACACTAATTTAAATGACTGCTGAGCTTCTTTCTCCCTTTGATGATCTCTGATTCCCAAATTCCCTCACCTGTCCATTATTACACCTTGATTATGAGGGATACTTGCCCATTGTTCATATGTGGGCAGAGAACGGAATTACCCTGAAGTGCAAATAACTCATGCCTTCTCAGAGAACGGCAAATTAAATATGTGATTTATTAAAAAGTACTTGAACTATTCATTTTAATCTTCTTCCCTTTTGAGGATACCCCCCAGGACCCATTCACTGCTTAAATACAAATATCCAGGAAGAGACAATTACGGAAAACCATATACCTTTGCAGTTGTTGTTTCATCTGTCACTTAACCAAATGATTCTAAATTACCTTTTAATTATTTCTACAGGTTGAAAATAAACTGAACTTTCGGAATCTAATGGAATGGACCAATCCAAGAAAAATGACCTCGAAGTACGTTGAGGTGTATTTTCCTCAGTTCAAGATAGAGAAGAATTATGAACTCAAACACCATTTAAAAGCCCTAGGGGTGAAAGATATCTTTGATGAGTCCAGAGCTGATCTCTCTGGGATAGCTTCAGGAGGTCGTCTATATGTGTCAAAACTAATGCACAAGTCGTACATAGAAGTCACCGAGGACGGCACCGAGGCTTCTGCTGCCACGGGAAGTAACATCGTGGAAAAGCAGCTCCCTGAGTCGACGGTGTTCAGAGCCGACCGCCCATTTCTATTTTTCATCACGAAGGAAGACATCATCTTATTTAGTGGCAAAGTCTCTTGCCCCTGAAAATCCAATGGATCTCCGTTACAGTAGTCCCTGTCACATCACAGAACCACCACAAGTGAATAGATTTGAGCGTTACTGGAAATGTACGGTGTTTCCTTTGAGTCTGTTTCTTCCTAACATTGGTCAGCAAGTGATTTTGGTTCCTTGCCCCTTCTCAGACACCTGGTTGACTGTCCTTATCCCTGCTCTTAGTGTTTTTACCACCATTCGCCTCACCCATTTCTAATTTCATTGTCTTTCTACACATGCTCATGTCTACCATTCTCCCCCATGGCCCCACTGGTGATGAGAATGTAGAAGCAGCAGCCCTAGGAATCTTTTTTGAAACTCTACAGTTATCACAGATAACCTAGCTTCATTGTAAAAGATCAAGGAAATAAACCCAACTGCTTCCTAGAAATAAATGTGAAGGATGACTTTTCGTTGTTGATCTATGAAGACATTAGAGTTTACTTTAATTTTAAACGGATTTTTAATCTAGATATTAAAAAATATGGACGGGATTGGGGACAAACCAAAATATTTCATTAATAATTTCAAGTTGACATCTTTTGGCCTTTCCTTGATAATACTGAGTATATACATAGTTTTTCAAATATTAAAGATCTTTTAAAGGTTGGCAGTTGTTATTTACAGTATATTGTTTCAAATTCTATGGAGTTTACAAGTTTTTTCTCTATTTATCAGAATAAAGAAATAAAACACATATGTCCAATGTGATTGTTCTCCTCTGATCAATTGTGGGACACTAGTGCTTTCTTTATTTTCTAAGCCAAGCAAGCAACGAAAGGAAAGAATGCTTTTTTTTAATACGCTTTATTTGGTTCAATGTTACTAATTTATTACACATAAAGTTACTTATTTTATAGATACAGGGGCTGGTGAGCTAATTTTAAATACTAGGATTTAAATTCGTATAGGAAAATGATTTGCACATATGAATATTTATAATAAGCCATATGTAACTTTATAAATAGATTAAAAATAGAGAATCAGTATACCATGCTGAACTTACTTAGGAGTTTATAAACAATAAGTCTACTGAATTGTGTTTTCATCACAAAAGACTTCTACCTGAATAGGAGCTATATAAATCAGGGGTAGCCTATTTCATGGCATCATGGTGCTTAGTACTAGACCTGGCAGATATTTGATTTTCAACAACTCTTATGGAATCCATGAATACGGTATGAACGAGTAAATTCGATATGATTTGAAAGATGTGGAAAACCCCTTGATCAAAATAATTTAACCACTAACCTGCAACACCTGTAATGACTATTATGCCTTTCAGGGACCTTTATGGAGAGTAAATTTAACTGGTATGCAGTGGTATGTTTTGGGACAGGAACTGATTTTTTGCATTACCATTCCCTTCTATTACTAGTAAAAAATAGCATATCCCTCAGGAAATGGGAGACAGGAGCATGTGTTCTGATAGTGGCCACACAGTTCATAAGCATGGATACTTTTCCATGCTGACAGGGTTCTCTGGACAGCCATGGTGGGACTCAAAGCTACTGGTGTTTAAAGTAAGAAACAGAAAGAGTGAAAGTGAGATGTGTAAAAAAAATAGCATACATCTTAGTCCATTCAGGCTGCTATAACAAAATACCTTAGACTGGGTAATTTATAAATAGCAGAAATTTATTGCTCACAGTTCTGGAGGCTGGGAAGTCCAAAATCAAGGCACCAGCAGATTCTATGTCTGGTGAAGGCCTGCCTTCATAAGGCACCTTCTTGCTGTGACCTTACATGGTGGAAGGGGTGGAAGGGGCCGGGTAGCTCCCTTCAGCCTCTTTCGTAAGGGTACTAATCCCATTCTTGAGGGCGAAGCTCTCATGTCTAATCCCCTCTTAAAGTTTTCACCTCTTAATGCTATTTCATTGGGGGTTAGGTACCAACCTATGAGTTTGGGGGAACACCAATGTTCAGACTATTCCGCATAGAAAAACTAAATGCAAATTTTCTTTGCAATGTTGGTTGTTTGGTCCTATTCATATTTCCACCTCTTGTTTAAAGGCCCCATCTCATTCAGAGAGGGGCTACATTGTGCAGTCATGATCTATCCTTGGTCTGGTGGAACTTTCACAACTTGCAACGCTTCTGAAACTGTGGCACTTGTGGAAGCATTGATCCTTTCTGTTGAACATCATCAATAAACATCAGGTTCAAAGGGTGCAAAGGCAACAGCTGTTCAGCTCCTCCCTTACCATAGAAGTTCATGCTTTCTGGGGCAGTATCTGTGTCTGATCTGTTTCTGCATCTTCACATCCCTAGAACAATACTTGACATGTAGTAGGTGCTTGGTGTGTCTTTAAAATAAATGTAGTCATTAGTCCCAAGAGTGTGATTTGGGGTAGAAATAAGACCCCCAGGGACCACTTTAGTATAAGATCAAGTTGCCAATCTTGTAATGGATTTCTTTTTATACAAAGATGGTTTTTTATCTTTTAGGGTCATATTTCTTTAATCTGCTTATTAGCCACAGATGTTTCTAAAACTTTTTTATTTTTTCTTAAAATTCTTTCTATATATGATCCCCTCCAGTCACATGGCTTCAATAATTGCCATCTATATGTTCAACTTCATCCAAATTCACAACTGCTTCCTCCGTCAATCCGACTGAATGTCACAGAGTAAAACTAAGCATGTATAAGATAAAACTCATCCCCCATCTTCCTTGAGTCTGCTATACCTTCTTGGGGGCCCACTCTCTGTCAAAGATGAGTATTGTCAAAAAACTCTAGCACAAAACATCAAGATCATCTTGTATCTTCCTTCATTTTCCCATTGGAACTTTTCATGGGTGTTACTATTAAAATATCTCTTGACCTTCTCTCCTTTTCTCCTCTTTCATCAGCACTGCCCTAGTTTAGGCTGCATTCCTTCTCTGGACTGGTCTTTTATCTGGTCTGCCTGCCTCTTGTGACTCTTATTTCTCTCTCACTTCTAGACCAAAAGTTGTGAAGATGTTTTATGTTTTCATCTCTAAATGCCAGTTATCTTCCTAAAACACAGATCAGATCTAGTCACCTTCATGTAAAACACTGATGGCTCTTCGCCACCTGAGGACAGAGTCTACCCTCTCTAGCATGGCATTCAAAGCCTTGCACAATTTTATACTGTCTTCCTTTCCTATTTGTTTTGCCCCTCCCTGCCAAGGACTCTAACCTGCAGGTACCCTGTGCTGTTTGAAAACCAAAGCCACCATTTTCGTGTTGCTCAGCTCATCCCATCTGACTGGCACATTCTCCCCACATTGTTTGATGATGCCCATTTAATTATTCAAGAACCTGGTCACATTCATGTTCTCTGTGGAGAGTTGGACTCAGTTGGACTCAAAAACACATTGTGCATCATTTTATGGGAGCTGTGTCCAAATTTCTTGTTATGCTTTGCTTAGGTGTATGTGCATGTGTGTGTGCATATTTGTGTGTGTGTCTTGTTAGACATAAACACTTTAAGGGCAGGAAATGGCATATGGCAGGTATACCTTCCTTGCTTTAAATGAAAAAATTCCCGTAAGATCCTAACAAAATCAAACAAAGTGTGAGTCAGACGGTGGCCAGACAACAGGGGCCCTTGCTGGCCTCATTCCGACCTCTACCAGGGGCTCCTTGAGAACTCTCTGTGTTCTGCTAGTCACATAATAACAATAACATAAACTCTCCTAATAATAAACTCTTTGAGAGAAGGGACAGTTAGTTATATTCTGCTCCCTTTGTAATTTCTCTCTAGCACATTCTATACCTCTTCACTGACTGATAGATTCTACTCATCCACAGCAAAGCAGAATCTTTAATCACTCAGGAACCTTTTGACACTAATATTTCATTTCTATTTCATAAACCTAAACTTCCCTTTAGATACCAGCAGCACCTTCAAGAAGAGAAAACCACAGAGACCTTACTTGAAAAGAAGGAACAAGCTGGCTTAAGAACTTAATTGCATTGTTGGACATGTTTTTGATTTTCCTTTCTTCTCCCTATTCCTTGCCTACAGCATTGTGAACCAAAACAAGAACACCATTGTGCTTTCAATATGAGAACACTTTGGTGAAACTAAAGTGACTAATATTTTACAAATAGTTTGAGTCTCATGATTGGTGTGTAATTTAACACATTGACTGACACACTAGAAAAAAAATGTTTTCCCTGGGGCCATGGTGTTTTATTACGAAAATAGAATAAAAACTCCCAAAACAAAATGATCCTTTCTAATTTAATGAAAAATTTGTTATTTTTTATTGTTTTCTGTGCATGAGTTATATGCAACTCATGTGGCACTATAATCAATTTTTACACTTCATGTCACTTGAGTTGTACGTGACTCAGGACATACTTATTGAATTTGTTTCAGAGAATTGAGTCTTCATATGCTTCACGAGGCCCTGGGCTCGAAACTAGCGTGAGTTAAATACAACTCACATGGCAGTCAATGTGTTAAACAAAGCAAACAAATACACTTCAATATAGTTAGTGCATTGGGAAGAAAGGAAAAGCAATCAGAATGGGAAGGGAAATGTGGAGGGAGGAGAAATGCTTTCTAGATGTTTTAAAAACAATCCGTTGTAAAATATGAACATTTTTTCCAAGTGTGCCTCTTGAGACAAGACTTGTTGATACAGCTGAGAGTCTGATTTGCACATGAATAAACAGGGTGATGCGCATGGTGAATGAGGCTGGAGGGGCTATGGCAATAGGAAGCACAGGTGTCTCCACCTGTCCTAAAGATTGGGAAGACGTCCTGGAGGAAGGGACGCTTTGGCTGAGACTTGGAGGAATAAGTAGGAGTAGGAAGAATGGGAGGAGAAGGAAACAGGGGTCCAGTAGAAGTGACAGCATATTCCAAGTCCCAGTAGTAAAAGACCACAGTGAGAGAACAGGTCCCCTCACTCCCAGCTATTAGTCAGAGTCATTATAGACTCCTGCAAGTGCAGAATGTCGAGTCCAGAAGGGTAGAGGGAGGTAGGCTAGGGTAGCAAGAAGTGGGCCTTGGACATTAGGTGAGAAGTTTGTCTTTGTTCCAAGTTTGGTGTACAGGCATTGAGGGGCCCTAAGGAGGGGGATGACCCTCTCAGGTTTGCATTTTTGAAGGATGTGTTTGCTGCTGTGTAGACACAGGGCTAGAATGTCACAAGACTGCCGGCAAGGAGAACTGGCCCGTGGTCCAGCCGAGAATAAGGAGGCCTGGACTGAAGGCAGTCCTGGGGGATGCATAGAGTGAAAGAAGGTGACAGATTTGGGAGGTGACCTGACTGGTCAGGACTTTGTGACTCAG